TCTTTGTAATTGATAATTTTCAGGCCGGAAATCACCAATCTTCAGTGGCAGTTAGTTGGCCAAGAGCGACATGCAGATCCTTTTAAGCGATCTAAATATTCAATATCCTCGCTCTTAAATCGATTTGTCATGTTATTTTCCCCCGTGTCTAATGTTTACCTTTCCTCAGCTCAATTGATTCCTCAACGGACGAGAACTTTTAAAAAACAGACTAATGAACTTCAGTTGACTTGACCGCAGTTCGGGAAATATTATATATTGAGTACTTAAGCAGCTTCGGTTGTGTCACATGGGCTAATGATTCCTTGTTTGTTCAGCGGCGATATGCATGTTTCGAATAAAATGTTTACATATACAAATCTACGTAAAATATGAGAGAATATCACGCGTCCAGGGAATATAGGGCTATTATTTGATCTATATTTTTAAAATGCACTGGAATGCACGAAATCGATTCACAGTAGTTCATTTGAAGATGTCCAGCAACTGCAAATAGACGCTTACTTTTGAATTTGCTGCCACACAGACGGGAATACAATCAAAATCTGGGGAGCCGATCTTTGTCACGAAGTCATCCGAAATTTGGGGATATTTCGCCCCCCCCCTCTGATATTTAATTCGTGCATGTGCATGAGATATGCCGAATTCATGACGCATTAATTTCCCGTTATCTCTCTGCCCACGTTGCTATCACAGCGTTGATTTTACTTCACGCGATGACAAAATGGCGACCTCAGACAGGTTTTCTTCATACTCACTATAGTGTTACACCCACGCTGACGGCAGTCACGACATACAGATACTCATACGGGTAATATTTGTTCGCACACACATATTACTGATACAATACACACCGTCAGCCCCTGCACATACACCTCTTCTTTCACGAACCCGCCCACTACCTTTTAAGGATTAATTTTATAAGTGTCGTTAATGACGACTGTGTGCACTGTGGGAGTTTCCTCCTGGTCGTTACACTACGAAATCGTATTCGATTGTAAATGGTATTATTTAAAATGCAAAATAATGTCACGTCCTTTAAAATGGCAGTTGTGAATAGAGTTCAAAACGAGACTGCACTAAAACTGAACTGAAATGACTAAAGGAACGAGGGAAAACTTTCAATAATTGATTTTTTGGAAACTGTTAAGCTGTCAACACGTCATATGTACACGTTTATATACAATAACACTTTATATCACAGTTCAGTAGATCATTTTCAGTTCACTGCGAGAATTACGCGTTCTGCGTGAAATCGAACGTAAAACAGGACAAACAAAGGTCATAGCGTCGTACAATCTCCCAGGCAGAGTTCTATTCCACGTTCGATTTTTGCGCCAAAATCTCTGATATACGCTGTGTACGTTTCTGAAAGATCAATTTGAACTTGACTGATAACTGACGGCGAGATGAGTAACAACACGTCCGTTGTCATTTGCATATGATATGCAAAATAAGACGCTCGTGCGAAGACCATATACACTGTTCTATAGACCCAATTATTTGAATACGACGGCAATCAAAATAATAATAAATCTAACACCGCCAATTTCTCGTGCAAAAAATTCAAAAAACAAAAGTTAGTAACATTTGTTTTCAATTTGTTCACGAATTCTTGTAAATCAATTGTGCGTCTGTGATGTGTAGCGACGATTGAATGATAGTTTTAGTAGTTCCATGAAGATGCTATTGTTTTCTTAAAATGTTATACTCGAACTGTGTGCGTAATTCAGGAGCCATTACATTCTTATTATATTATTAAAATATTAGAAGGTTAAAGTGCTACAGTTTCCGTGCCCAACGTGTTTGAATTATGTATGAGCAATATATTATACACGCTTTGTATAACGCCGCATTGGACCCACGTCGAACACGAACAGTCGTGATATTTCTAGCATTTCGCAGTTACCAACTTGAACTCAGATATATCCCAAATTAAATTGTCGTGCTTGCAACGAGATAATGAGATTCCTATTTCAGGTTCTCAGTTGTTTTTTAAACACCACTGAAGCGATTCTTCGGAGAAGTGACGAAAGTAGGGAAATGTTTGAAAAAGAAGGCATTAACGTTTTTTTTACTTGGAAGGCGCGCAGCGGTGCGTGACCGAAATTGAGGAAATTAACATCACGTGATCACACCAAGCTGCTGCCATTGGCTGAACCGATACCACGTGATGTTCGAGTGGCCGTGTATTTTCACGAATATCGTTTAATGGTTAAGTGCCATCGGTTGTTATGACGTCAACGTATAATCAATCATCTGCTCAAAGGGGAATTTAGTAGCCTGTACAGAGTGTTTTACATGTTTGTTGTTTTAGGTGAATTCTAATAAACGTGCGTTTAGCCAAAATTCCTTTCGGTCGCCAGTAATACCTATATCATGAAATGTGACAAACAAATAATTGAAAGTGAAGTAGATAGGCCAATCTAAACGCGCATGACTGGACGTAGGTCGCACTATAAATAGGTACAAGCTCAGGGAAAATCACTAAACGAAGACAAATTATGCTTCCGTTGACAGATTTAATCATCGTGTTTCTATGCTTATTCCCTTTCTCAGCTCTTCGGAAATGAAAACTTATACTGCACGGAAGTTGTGGCCATTTTATTCAAGCAAATTGGTGAAGTGAGATAAAACGGCTGTATTTATGGTCATAAACCTGAGATTTAATAGGCTATATCGCACGGAGCGAGTGACCAGTAAAGCCCAGGTTATTACAAGTTCAAGGAAGAAGGCCTTATATCGACATTGGCCGTAAAAACAAATCAAAGCTAAATGACCAAGATTATTATGAACAGTAGGGTCCAATAAACGGCGTTATTGATAAAACACGCTCATTTACTCGTTTAATGATTACAGATAAAAAGGTTATAGCTTGTATATAGAGTGGAGGCTGCTGCATTACGCACCCGTAACATCACCGCCAGCTGCGGAATCTGAGAATACTAGTATTCTAGTACGCAACGATCAAGTTAAAATACCAACTTTATGGCGCGGATTTCAAAGGGATTTGAACAAAACATGACGACTGTGATACTTTTTAATAATAACTGATTAAAGTGAGAGGTGAAAGTAGTTTATCACTTTTCTCCAATACATTAGATAGTCCAGAATGATTAACATTATAAACATGTTGTGGTGAACATTTGTAATTATTATTACACCGAATAAACCTTAAAACGGAAATTGTGACACTTAATCGTGACAATATTCCATGCAGGTCATCCTCGAAGAGCTGAATGCATGTAAGCAAAGAATCCAAAAGCAGTGATTTAATTTTATAGAGTTTTTTCATTGACGCCTTTTTCACCTACATGGTTTTATAAACCTAATTTCAGCAGCTTCAGTCTGACGAAGAATTAATTTTTACAAACACACACGGCGCCATTCTGTGCGCAGCAGTACGCAACACGGCTTATGTCAATACAATTCTCTTTCAACAAATACATTGTAGACATACTATCAAAATACACAAAATACGTAACAAAAACACATCGATGCCGTCCACGGCAAGTTCACGACTTACTATTGTTAGAGAGACGAGTTGCGCAGCCGCAGATTGAATGTCTCAAAGCGCGTAGCCGAGCGGGCTGGCGAAACTCATGACAAACGCGACTAAATCTTTAAAAATTCCCTAGTTTTCTCTCCAGTAAAATAGTCAAATAATGAAAGCAAATTAGTTATTTCAATGAATATAGCGCATTATATTGTGTTTCTTCGACAATTTATTGGCGGAAATCAGGTAAATTCGGGAGGAAGGTACCCGGATGGAGGCAGACATGCGAATATGTCAGCAGGTAGCAGGAATACTAGTATGTCTACCTGTAATGCGCGAGTCTGATTGGCTGTCATGAGGTAAAATAATATTTTATGTACCACTCATTTCACACTAAAATGATATAAACATGTAACATAATAGTCACATCTTGGCACATAGACCGGTGTTAGCAGAACGCATTATATTCGTAATGATTACAACGATACTACAGATAAAAATACACTTTTTTCAGTTGCTAACCACAAAAAATGATATTAAATCAATGAAGGAAAGTGGCAGACAGATGCGATGTTAAATTTCGATTTAATTTCACGTGTAACATATTAATTCCCATCTTTGTTTCAGAAATGTTAAGGAAACGCAGGTATAATTTCAGAGTGACATCCAGAGTAGAACGCTAATATTATGACAGTATGGAGACGGTATAACCGGGTCAGCGGACTCAGTCAGTTAAGTTGAAGCACTTGTATGTATGTGGCTGACGAGTATTTCAAAACGTTAGGAACTGGCAGATTTGTAAAATTAAGGGTTGTTGGCCAACAAGACACCATGAGCTGTAATATATGCGAAGTTTACTAAAACCACCACGATTAAGAAAATACGTTATACCAGCATTAAATTCCGCCAGTGATACTGAATATTTGTTATCGCAAGTGACCACAAGGGACACGGGCAGCACAAGCTTTGAAAAACCAATGCCAGCTGATACTGAATAAATCATGGACGATAGTGCTCGAGAGCCCATGGGAATACATGCACAAGTGATGTTCGGAAAACCGGATTCTGTTCACTCGATAAATTGACTTTGATATGGACTCTGGAATGCAGGGGACGTTACTTTTGCGGTATCAGCCACCTAGAGATGTGGTTAGAAACTGTGGCCATAGACATATATAACACTAATCAAGTATAAACGAGGTGTTTGCCAAGATATGGTAAGGTGATATCGTGGATTCATCTACAAATATATTGTGAACATTCCAATATACTTACAACTGCGAGATATTTAATCCATCAAACGGCTCCCAACTTAATCTATCAATATCGTTATTCTGTAAATCACTGTAAAAAAAAACAAAGTGAAAAAATAGTTAAAAATAGTTTTGAGTGTTCTTGTTAAACATGGCATTACAAAATCACAGAAGAAAATAAATTGATAATGCATGTCTAGTGAAGCGGAGAAGAGAACACAGGCACATGTCCAAGATTTCAAAGCAACGCACTAGTTTAATATGGTAATGAACGCGCGTCATTTGTGTATTTATCGTGCACCTACTTCCGTCCCAGATGGTGCTTAATGGAGTTAATAGTTCCCGATGGGTCGAAGTAATAACACACGTGTGGTAATACATATTTAAATCTCAAGCCAAATGAACAGAAGTGGACAGAACCTTAACGGACGTATCAGTCCAACACTCAAAGAGGAAAGATCAAAGAAGGAACATTTACAAAACTAATGAGAATAGGCTAATTAATTTACGGGAGATGTGACCTTAATGTTTCTGTGAATATTTTCTACGTTCAGTTGCCCGGTTTTTGAACCCGGTGCCAAGCGGACATCTTTGTCATGTACGTCAAAATGGAATGAATAAAATACAATTTTCGGCAACAGGATATGTACATCATGAGGCCTGAATGCTTTTACAAACACACATCCTGCTTATTAATTAAGCGATTTGCTGCATAATATGCGTTTTGTACTCCACTGTACGGCAATTCAAGTGCGCGATTATCATACGCGACCGCGATTCGGATGGGAAAGAAAAAAAACGACCTAACTGTAGGAAGATTGATAAATAGGCGTTACTGTACAATATTTGATTAGTTGCAAGCTGGGGTTACTAGCCTTCATTGTTAAAATGTAATACGTTGTAAAAGCCCCAGCCTTTGTGTACTTTGTATAACGTATATAATCAAGGTGATTTAAAATTGGAAAAGACGACAACAAAGAAGCCAAGATTTTGCGAGCGAAGTTAAAGGGCGGCAGTCGTCGTGCTGCGTCCTGTTCGATATGGGACTCATAGTGACGTATACAACGCGTGTAAAATACATTGTTTATTTACATAAAATTCGAACACGCGCTGCGCGACGACCACCGCGCTTTAAGAACGAGCGAAAGTTCAAGCGTTTTATTGAAAAACACATAATCGACTATTAGTCGTCCTTTAAAAGGGCGAGTTTGAATGTATTCATGCAAATTACAAATGAAGTTGAAGTGTAGGCCATATTTGTCGTAGCATTAATATTAACTTCCGGATTCTGGCGACAGAATTGGTCGATATTAATATTATCTTGTTGCGGGTATAGAATAAGCGCTGGATATTAGGAGATATTCGTTCAAGCATTATGACGTGTACGGAGCCCCCCCCCCCCGAGGTTATGATGTAACCCACCGCGGCAAATATAGAACGTCATGTTTGCACAGTATAATAGGATGCGGTTCAAATTGATGAAGCGGCAAGGAGTTTATCGTGGCAGATTAAATATTAGAATTTTATCCGCAGGATTGTCATCAATATTATTATCATTATAAGTATTGAAAGCCTCCGGGCGATATGTATAAAATTATAACAAGACATCAGCGGGAAAATATATACTTGCTGAAAATACTGAATATAGAGCAGCTCGCGACTATTAGATCGATTTCATAAACGAACTAGTATTCACTCGGACTAGTGAAAGAGTAAAATATACAAATTAGGGGGAGGGGTCAAAACCTTGCGTGCGAATCTCTGAATCGATTTTTCTTTCTCTGCTGGAAAGTAGAATTAATTAAGTACGTTTTGACCGGAGTCCATGTACGTATGAATGGGAAAAACGTATTTAATACTGATAAATAGAACGCATGAAGTAAACACGCTCAGGGCAACTGCCAAGGTGATTATGCATACGGGGAAATTATTTTTGAAATATAAATTATATACCGCATTTAGCAACGAATTTGGAGATGACCCGGTCTACACGAGGAAGCCCTCTCTCATTCAATTCCTTAATGATAGTGTGTCAAAGGAAATGACGGAAATTTACAGACAAGAGTTTGTAAATTGATCAATTTCTATCATTCATCCTGTCTATTGGGAGACCAGAGTTCAAGTCCAGCTATTTTGCATATGAAGTAAACACACACGCCCTCTTTGTTGCTAACATTGTGTTACAGTATTTTCTACGCCACGTCATTGGAGACATGCGATCTTTTCTGATTGTAATTTCAGGCGTGTATTCATGCCACTGCGATACATTGTAGTGCTATTCACGAGGATCCAATATGGACGAAAACATATTTTTTGTAATATTGTTGTTTGATAAAGCATGTTGATGATCAAATTGCTTATAATGAATACATTGCTTTTGGGGCACACACAAAAGTACTGGTTCGATCAAAAATAAAAATCGCTTCCACGCATGCGCATCAAAAAGATCAGTGCCATAGCCTGACATGTAGGCGTGAGTGGCGCCTTCGCCGGCCGAACGGCATCATACCTCACTGGGTTTGGAGCATCGAGGAGGGCGCAACTCACGCGACATTGTCAGGCTAATCAGTGTCAATGCGTACTGTAGTAAATTCATCAATTTGAAGTACCCAACATCAATATTAAAATTACATGTTCTTGTTAATTTTTCATTTTCAAAATAAGGAAAGTAATAAATAAGCATCCTTCTACTGGGGACTTACTGTCCTTTACCGTTTTTTTAACCTGATTTGTTTTTTTGAATTTAGAAAAGCAGGCTAACCGAGCCGAAACGTTATCATTTTTTAAATTTTATTTAATTTTACTTTTACGAGATTAAAATAAACGAATTTGCCCACTATGAACGGGCGATACCCATTTAAATTATTCTATATTTGCAAATCATTTGACTAAAATAATCATTTTATATTGGATTTAGTGACAAAGCAAAATAGACAATAGAGTCTGGTAAGATGTTGTCACGAATTCATTACACTGCGGGGTAGCAGTTTCACTGAATATCACTTGCATATCATTTACAAACATTTGCATAACATTTGACTAAAATGTGCATTTCATATTGGATTCAGTGACAAAGCAAAAGAGGCAATAGTGTCTGGTAAGATGTTGTCACGAATTCATTACACTGCGGGGTAGCAGTTTCACTGAATATCACTTGCATATCATTTACAAACATTTGCATAACATTTGACTAAAATGTGCATTTCATATTGGATTCAGTGACAAAGCAAAAGAGGCAATAGTGTCTGGTAAGATGTTGTCACGAATTCATTACACTGCGGGGTAGCAGTTTCACTGAATATCACTTGCATATCATTGACAAACATTTGCATAACATTTGACTAAAATGTGCATTTCATATTGGATTCAGTGACAAAGCATTTACATATCAGTGGCGTACTATTAGATACATCGTATAATGGAACGTTGACAGAGATCGTATTTTCTCTATGCACTTGCATATCCAATTTGGGTCAATTTAAGCCGTTTTATTTCGAGAAGGGATTACAAAAATAGAATCCAATTGACAGCGACAGGCACGTGGTATAGCGAAAAGAAATTAACGTCACGTCACTTACATGAAATGCAGGTTTCGGTTACCGTAAAACGCTCGTGGAGTTATCTTTTTTACTTTGCAATTAACGATCGTCCTGAGGATGTAAGAGAGAGGTTAAAAGACGGTGAACATGAACATGAACGTGACAAACAAACCATAGTACTCTGCTAGTACGCTCTTACGGAAACAACTGAATTCAAAGTTGCAGGAAACACATTATATATATAAGCCAGGCGTTGTACATCGTCAGCGGATATGTCAGAGTTTTAGGGTTAGGGTTATTCTAAAATTCAGTGTATGGATAATTATTTTCAAGTCTGAAATATTTGCCGTTAATGTAGTTGGCTGTCATTAAAACTAGACTACTTTGACCTTTGTTATATGGATTTGATATATGCAGATGCTCATATAATCCGAATAATATGGTCATCAAACTACTTTTCGCACAAAAAAATGTGTAAAGACCCCATGAAAATGGCGATTTTTTGTGTCATTTACATTGGTTCCTATGGTGAAAAAAAATGGTATCTTAAAATGTCGTTTGGATACTTAATGTGAAAAATCACGTAAGAAGAGCAGTGTCCCGAATTATTGGGAATTTCTGAAGAATACTATTTTTTAAATGACTATCAACACTAATTTCGATAAAACGAATTGTTCAAATACATCCTACCACGAAGAACTGTTCAACAGCCAAGTTTATAATATGGTTAAATTGACGATATATTGCGACTTTAATGTTTGGACAAAATAGAAAGATATAAATTTGGTTCAAAACTGTCAAAATAATTATAGAAACATCCCCCCAAAATGGGAAAACTGACGTTCTTACCCGGAAAACATCGTGGTCCCAAAATGATTAATATTAATTATCACATTTTACGACTGATATTAAGATAAGATCAGTTGAAATTGGTGATATGATATATACATGGTGACATATAATATATAGGACTTAGAATCATATACTAGTATGGCATGATATGATAGGACACGAAATATTAGAAGATATAATATGACAAGACACAAGACATGATATATGATGAGAAACTTACAGTTTCTCGAGGCGTAGTAGGTACTGCAGCGAAGTCTCGTTAATTTCAAGAAGGTCTCTTTGGTTTTCTATAACACTGTAAAAAAAAAAAAAAGAATGAACAAAATATGTTCTGTCAAGTGGGGGAGTCGTCACTTGCACAGTCGTTGTTTACGAACAAGCGCCTCTACCCATGAACCTTTGCATTTTTTGGCATGCGTTGTTATGTGAATGTTTTGGACATCAGGACTGAATTTCCACCGCTTTAAGTTTTTTTTTCATTTAATAACTTCTCACGGGTATACAAGACAGGTAGGCGGTCCTAGATAGATCGTCTCAGCCTCGAACCAGTCATAAAAGTGGAATTGTACCGCGCAATTGTGTTTGAGCCTGATTGGCAATAACTTAGGTCAAAATGTACTTGAAACATCGTGAGCAGTCAGTTCAGTGATGTTGGCACTTGGCAGTTTGTTCAATTCAACATAGTAGTCACCACACTAATGTCTATACACTGATATACGATTAGGATGTGTCTACTACGAATATACGTATATAAATAGGATGAAAATGTGTATCAAAAAATATATCACCTAAGCATAACAGATAAAATCTCATTTACCAGTTGACATTTCTACCGAAAAGTAAAAAAGTTTCCATTCGTCGACTCCATGAGCGATTTTTTTATTCATATAGAAATATACAATTACAATCATATAAGAAATCCATTGTAATTATGGGACAGCTGATAAGAACCGTCGCCATTTTTATTATTTTACATGACAACCCACCTAAAAAACTTATTTAGCCACTAAAGCTGGCAAATATGGCGCCAATGTCACCCCTAAAATGATGGATATAAAATACTGATGATATTATGTCAAACATGTAAAGGCAGTCAATACTCATGCATAAATTTTAACTTGCCCCCCCCCTCATTCAGAGCAAGGACCGGAAAATAAAAATAGTTTTATCATCACACTGCAAAAAGCAAGATTAAAGAATCGTTAAGTCGCATCTCTCGAATCATTTCGCATCAATGCGAATTCATCGTCATGGTAACGCAAATTATTATCGGGCAGCTTAGGATGATGACTTTAGATATATCATTTCTTTATCAGACGGATAAATAAAAAAAGATAATAAATATGAAAATGATTGTCCTTCTATATCACAAGACTGCAAACAAACTCGTCTTAGTGGCAATTTGACCGTGTTATTTTTTCTTGTGGTGAAGACATTAATGTTTGTTATATCCCAGACAAATAGCAAATCGTCGCAAAATTACTGAGGAGTAAGTAAACCAATCTACGCGCAAACAAACACACACACACACACACTCTCAATGAGTAATTGAAATCCTTCTGGCAAACTTCCAACCTTTGACCTTTGACACGAAACGTTCAGGATGTTAAACACTCCATCATTAAGCTTTCAGGCCCCTGAAGCATTCGTATCACCCCAGTGACAGGACCATTCATTCACAATATTCAATAAATAGAAATGAAGTTCTCAACATTTATGTGTGATTTACTGACGCACGTGTGACGCTTTGCGAAAATAAATGCTTCTTGGATTACCCATGATGCAAAGTGGACTTCAGAGGGAAGGAATGTTCGATTACTAAGTTCAGACACGTGTTCCCGTATTATGTCATTTTACAATTGCTTCCTTATTATTCACAAGTATTGAACCGCGTTCTACGATTGCAATCAGAGATTTACAAGTGTTACCTTATTATCTTCACAACAGCGTTTCGTAATAGTGCTCAATTATTTGCCCCAGGAATTCACAATTGTTTCCTTATAATTGTGTTGAAAATATCACTGGTAAGTGTTCGATGTTGCTCTCAAGAATTCACAAGTGTTCCGTTATGCTCAAAAAGTTGAAAACAGATTAAACAGTGATCAACTCTTAAAGATGTAAAAGCGTTCTCTTAATTGTGGACAAATTCAACATACCAATTTTTCGAAACGCGCGCGAGACGGTCTCACTAATCTCAAACGTCGGTGAAATGCGAAAACAATGTTTTTATATTGTGTATGACCATCTGACGGTGTCGTCCGTCCACTTCATGGAAATAGTATGACTACTTGAAATGAAATGTGTTTAAGGTACGTTCTATATATGTAAATGAGTAGGAAAGGCCTATCTTTACATACTACGTGGGGTTACGTAGGCGAGGGACTGCTCAACGCTGTTGTTGTATCACAGTATTCGTTTCATCACGAACATTACAACCGAAAAAGTTTTTTCTTTTCACAAACATTATTCGCAAAACACTCACTGACAATTATAGCAAAATTACAGTTATTGATCTCGTTGTCATCGACCGAAGTCAGAGGCAATAACTGTTGTATTACCCCTAAAGAGACAGTAAGCGTTATGATATCAGAGACCAGTAACACACATTACGTCAGAGGCAATAACTGTTGTATTACACCCTAAAGAGACAGTAAGCGTTATGATATTAGAGGCCAGTAACACACATTACGTCAGAGGCGAGAAATACACAGGGAGACAAGCCAAATTCAATGTCCAATCATACGATCACGTGACTGTTTTGGCCAATAACATTGACTGTCTCATACTTGAGAGATAATAAATATAATATATTATTATTATTATTATTATTATTGCGGTAACATTCTACGGATTAGATCAAATGAAAGACGAATTACAGCTAATCCGATATACGTATATTAGTATTATATATATGAAACCAGGTCATTCTTTATAAGGGTTTCTTTCCTCTATCCTATGCAAACAACTAATACGGTGATCGGGCATAAATTAAATGCTACGATCCGTCTGACAAGTCGCCGAATTATCATACTTTGCGATGACACATCCGCTGAAAAGATTGTGTCCAAAACACGAAATAATCTCATAGCAGGTCGTCTAACAGGACCAATCGACAATGATTCCTGTCAACAAGAAAAGATCCCGGCGTGTTGGTAAATCCAATTGCTAGAAATTCACATAATAACCACTGATCTGCATCCTGTCACACGCTATTATCTTCCGTGTACTCGCATTCTCTATATGCGCAATTTGATTTTAATAGATGTTTGTCGGAAGTGTAGTTTACTGTAGCTGGAGTAGTTCAAATTTCCCGTGTGCGCATTCTATAATAAAATATGCTATCGCGGAATCGTAATGACCTTGTTTTTTATTGTACCTCAATAACTAAATTAAAAACCTGATTCCATTAAACTTTTCCCGTCCTAGCGGGTGTATATATACCTCCATGATATACATGTAATACTATTTACGTAATGTAGTTGTGGCTTGACAGTTCATGTTATGTAGAGCCTTACTTTCCCGGGGAAACGGCGCATTAATCAGCACCATGGTTGGCACACGTCATAATTACGCGTTTGGAAGCTGTTCACTGATTTGGATGACAGTCTCTTACATGGCAAGCACGTATATTGGGAATAAATCAATATACCGTATTTGTTCTATTAGAAGTGTATCTCCAACAGAAGCGTCATGATACGCGATTACATTGTATATGCGAACACACAACACACGTTGATTTTATGTGTGCTCATGCCATGTGAGCAGGTTATCTTACGAAAGTTGGGACGATGATGCAGTTAACAATGAACCTTACTAGGCACTGCTGAAAAAAGTGTATCGGTGAGACGATTTATGAGGGTAAAATTAACCCGAGCGAAGAATCTTAATTATTTTTGCATGTTGTATATGTGTGTCTAAAAATGGATATATTCCTTGAAATCTAGCCAAATATACACATTAAAAAAAAATCTAACAATTAAATGACATAATATTCAATGGTCTTTCCCTTCCCATAATACAATGCGCACTAGCTCGATGCGTTTAGTATCACTTTTACAGGTGACAAACGTTAAAAAAAGGTCACATGGCATCAAAGTCGGTTGTTGATGTGGTGCAATATACATTCTGTACAATCAATTTCTGTATTAATTATTTGCCCTCGGTTATACGGTTCGCAATTAGATGTCGTATATTCTTCGTTTCTTCGTAATATCATGGACACCTAATGATGACATTGTAACGAATATGCTTAAACAACTACAATGAACGTCAAATTATCGTACAAAAGTAAGACTTCCAAGAAGCGACGGTTACCATGGCAAACTCTGCTGCTCATACGTCCGTAACACGAGACATGAATAGTTTCACGCCCACAAATCAAAATTCTCGAGAAAATTGGTAACTGTGGGCAGCCACGGTAACCAGGCAACCGGGGATCGAGAGATGAAGACTCTCCTTGGCGGTGGGATGATGACGCGACTAGAGAGAAGCTAAAACCTCCTGATGTACCTCGATGCAGTATTTGAAAGCCGGAAGTATCTGCGATTATGCTATGCCGAAATGAAAACCAAGCCGGACGTTGTCGATAGTCACCCTCGCATTTTAACAAATACGTGGAAAAAAACAAATGCCCGTTAATAGACATAAAAAGCAGATGAAACAGATTTGAAGGTCGGCAGTATTATAGCGAACACCCGGCAGCTCGCCCACAAGAGCAACAATCGGAATTGATGAACTTAAAACAGGTGAAATATCTCAAAAATGCTATTTATAAATGCAAAGTGTATTCTTTGTTTAATTTTATTAAGTTAACCACAAATGCTATAATTATAACGAATGTTTCAACTGACCATAGGCATCATTTCCGACTACCAAAGCGACTAAAAATGCCCACACCACATGGGCGGGGCTGGGGGTGTCAACCCCGCAATAAGCAATTCAGAGAATAGCTTTCATACCATAGTGGAATTGTCAATAGTAAATTCAAATGCTAATCAAGTACTTTCTTGATATCAGTCTTAAAATGTAAAAATTAATTTTAATCCTTTGGGGACCATTATGTTTTTTGCCGAAAGTTGGGTGCGAACGTTTAGCCTACTTACTTTTATGATTTTTTTAATAATCATTTTAATAATTTTGAACCAATTTGAGAATTTTTTTGGGAAAACTGTGGAAACAGATGTTGAAAAATACTGCGGATGCTGCCAGTGATTTTGAAAAAAAAAAACTGTGGACGCATATGTTGAAAAAAATGTGGATGCTGATGAGAAAACTGTGGACGCTGTGTGAAAAATC